TCACGTGCTCGTGCTCGACAATACTCAGTTACACTGTACTCTCTGACTGCAGTTCAATTACTTATTACCTTCACACATTGTCCCGTCACGTAGTCACCATCTTATATATACCAGATTACCCTATATCTAGTAATCTCCCGACAATTCCCGAAGGTTCGAGAAAAGGAGTGGCGTGATACTAGTCACGTGACCTCGCTGACGCAACAATATCTGTTCTACTTCCTTTGACGGATTAAGTAATAGCTAACTGTTATTATTACTAGGCTTTTAGTAATGTTAGGTTTTCTGCATTAAAAACTAAAAGTTGGTAAATATAATAATATTATTAGACATTAAAACTATTGCACTAACTTCAGTTCTAGTATTACTAAACTTAGGAGCTGGGGGGAGGACGTGACCCCAATAATTTCAAACCAAGCTACTATTGACTATGTTATGGGTAATGAATAACGTATTTTTTGCAAGAATTGTGTTTTGAAAGAAATGAAAGAAAAACTACTCAGAGATTAAATGTAAAATGTATTCTAATGATTTTTGTTTTTTAATAAATCCAGATACTGGCATCATTGTAAGATAATCATATGTACATATACATTTTAAGTACTTAAACTTATTTATATATCTTATAATTATCGCTTAAATGTATTGTTTTTGCTCGTAAATAAAGTATACCCTACGTGACGGTGGTAAAACGTCATATTCCCGATAGTTCCTGAATGCTCTAGCGTTTACTAGATTTTGGTATTCTTTTATATATAAGACGGTCAAAACGTGACGACAACAATGTAATGCTGTGTAATTGAACTGCTAACAGAGAGAGAGAGAATATTGTTGAGTTGAGCACGTGAGACGTTCGTTGTGAATTATAGCGTTTGTTATAGCGCGACTGTAGAAATTAAGTGTATTGCAAAGTTGTATTCAGAAAGAATAAACCAGTTTTATTTAAGAAAGGACTTGTGTCGCTAAAGTTTCTTCAGAAAGAAATTATACGGAAAATTAACTAACAAACGGAGGCGTAACAAATTGGTGTCAGAAGTGGGATAGAAAAAAATAAAAAAAGAAGAAGAGATGGAAACGAGAGGCGGCAAATCAAACTACAGCTTAGCAGATTTGATGGCAGCAATACAAGAACAGTAAAAGGAAACAAGAAGAATGAGAAAAGAGACAACAGCAGTTGCAAGAAAACCTGCAACAGTGGCAGCTCGAACAACAAAATAAACAAGAAGAGAGATTACAACAGTTGTTGGAGGAAAAAGAAAAGAAACAAGAAGAGAGACAACAGCAGTTGCAAGAAAACCTGCAGCAATGGCATCTCGAACAGCAAAATAAACGAGAGAGATTACAGCAGTTGTTGGAGGAAAAATAAAAGAAAGAAGAAGAACGAGAAAAGAAACAAGAAGTACGAGAAAAGAAACTAGAAGAAAGGTTACAGCAGTGGCAACTGGAACAAGAAAGGAAACAGGAAGAAAGTCTCCAACAGTTGCAGGAAAGTCGGCAACAGTGGGAAGAAGTACAAATGGAAA